ATTGTCTCATGTGAATTATCCTGAGCCAGTCCTCTATTGTTGGACACTGGTGCTGTTACATGACTTAAAGAAAAGACTGGCATGGTAACACCAAACCTTGGATTCACACAGCAGCAAATCACACTTTGCTGACCTGACGCAGGATTCACTTGCCTGTGTTCGTTCCTCCACTTAACTGTATTTACCAACATTTCATTATCTTTGGGCAAAGGAATCTTTTAGATGGAACACACTATCTTGGAAACCAGAAGAAAACATCTGGTATTCACTCTGATGGAAGAACCAAAGCAAAGCAGTAAACACCATCTGTCAATTTTTTCTTCCAAAGGAGCCTTTCCAAATTTCCAGGGGTTCTCTTTGCCAACTCCTTGTTGCAGCAGCACCAGAAGCAAATGAAACCATTGTAGTTTCTCATGTTCTGGGCTAGGAGGCTGGGCTCCCAGGGCTGAAGCCCACTTCTTGTATGCTGGTATCTGCTTCCACACTGGAAGTCTCTATTTTTCAGGCATTTTACCTGCTAGCCTGTGTTGACTCTGAAAACGTGTGCTGAGAATTGTGACTACAATGTGCTCCCAGAAGAGGTGCTCTCTGTCTTACACTTGATCCAGCAACACTGATTCTGATTCTCCTAACCCCGTACTGCTTCATGCCTTTTATTCTTACTGTCTTTGCCTAACGCGTGCATTACCTCCTCCGAAAAGTCTTCATTAATCCCTTTCCTTCATTAAAGGACTCCTCTGCTCCCCCACCTTGTGAATACCTTTATGTTAGCAGTTGTCACATGGGGAAATGATCTATTTATGCACTTATCTTGTTTACTGGCATATGTAGGGATTGGCACAAAGAAGGTGCTTAATAAATGTGTCTCAGACACTGAGTACAACATTTGCTGCTTTACCCTTGCATTCAGTCCTTCTGCTGCTTTGACTGGCCAGTGGCCCAGGCCGGTCCCCACCACTGCATCTGTGTGGGAGATGGATGCTCCAGCTAGGACAGACTCCTGGTATAGCCCCAGCAGTGCTGCCATCTTGGTAAATGTTTCCCACCATGACCTGACTATTCACATTGCTTCTTGTGAAATTCTAATCTCCTAAAGGACATCCATAGTGAAGAGTCCTTTGCTGGCCTGCTCTAGGGGAAGCATTGGGCCACCTTGCTCCAAAGGCCTTTCTCCAAGCTGTTTGGTAGGTGCTATTTTGCTCACCATACAGCTGGTCAAGGAACCACAGAGTCTATGCTGTGAATTGTCCCATTGGCTATGGTTGTATTAAATGCTTTATTATTAAATTAAATACTTCAGTTCCATTCAGTCTACATTGACATGGAATAGGGTCCAGAGGTACTGGGAAAGTCCCTCCTCTAGATTGTAAGGCTGGGACCATAGAAGGGCTCAATAAAAATCATTGAATGAAATCCCTGAAAAGTGGGCACTGAGCAGAATAAGTATCAAAGGGAGAAGAAGGAAGAGAAGAAGGCATTCCATGCTGAGGGAACAAAGGCATGGGCCACCAGTCCTATAACTGGCAGCAGGAATGCCCACCCCTCGCCCCCACTCTGTGGATTCTCCACAGGTAACTCAGCACTCTCTTTTCACAAGATCCTGAATTGTCCTGAAGTGATACATCAGGTTCCATTTGCCTATTAGATGACCACCAATAATATTTTCTCCTTCAAACTGAAGTTTTCCAGGAAAGAAACCTTCTCTGATTAATCATGATCTATCAATCAACCTCCTTTTCTCTGAATCCCCACAATATTTGCTTTTCAGTTTTAACACTATTTCTTTGCAAGTAATAATAGACCTGACACACAATTTGTGGCATGTAGTGGTTAAGTTCCTGGATTGTGGATTCTAGAGCCAGATAAGAACCGGGTTTGAATCTAGCCCATGACAGTGACAGTAGGTAAGTGACTGGATCTCTCTGCCTTGATTTCTAAAACAGAGGTAAAAATGGTGCCTACTCATATATGGTACCTACCGCATATGTATTGTGAGGATTAAATGAGCTGCTGTATGTAGTAAATGCTCAGTAAATGTTAGCTACTCTCTGCTTGCTGTGTAGGAAATCTTCCTTTATCCCTACTATACCTTAGATAGCTTTTTTCTCCCTGACACCTTGAGGATATTTTGTCATAGCAATTGCTTATTGTTGACATCATCTGTTTATCATTCTCTCCCACTACACTCAATGATCATTTGTTTGTTCACATACACTTATTGAGTAGGTTACAACAAAGATCAAGAGAGACATAGTATATACCTAAAATAATTGAAAACAGGTACTCAAATACAAGTACATGCATGTTAACAGCAGCACTACTCAGAATAGCCAAGAAGTAGAAATAGCCCTATGTTCTTCAAAAGATAAATGGATTAACAAATTGTGGTACATAACATACAGTGGAATATTATTCAGCCATAAAAAGATAAAAAGAAATGAAGTACTGATATATGCTACAACACTGATGAATCTTGAAAACATGCTAGGTGAAGGAAGCTAGGCACATAAACCCACATATTGTGATTCCATTTACATAAAATATCCAGGAACCCAGCTTGGTGAGTGGCAGGGGTTGGGAAGAGGAGGAAATTGGAAGCAATTGCTTAATGGGTATGCGGTTTTCTTTTGGGGTGATGAAAATGTTTTGGAACTAGATAGAGGTGGTAGTTGCACAACATTGTGAATGTAATAAATGCCACTGAATTGTTTGCTTTCAAATAGTAAATTTTATGTTATGTAAATCTCACCTCAATAAAAAAAAAACAAAAAGAAACGGGGAGAGAGAGGGAGGGAGAAAGAGAAAAAGAGAGAGATTGATTCTGCCTTCAGAGGGTCAATTTCCAAAACTTTCTCAAAACCAGCAGACATAATTACATACTGTGATAATCACTTGGTGGGAAGTAAAGGGGAGAAAGCAGAAAAGTTAAAAAAGAGCTGGGAGGCCAGGCATGGTGGCTCATGCCTGTATGTAATCTTAACACTCTGGGAGGCCAAGGCAGGAGGATCGCTTGAGGTCAGGAGTTCGAGACAAGCCTGAGCAAGAACGAGACCCCATCTCTACTAAAAATAGAAAAATTAGCTGGGCATTATGGTGCTCATCCATAGTCCCAGCTGCTTGGGAGACTGAGGCAGGAGGATCGCTTGAGCCCAGGAGTTTGAGGTTGCTGTGAGTTAGGCTGACGCCATGGCACTCTATTCAGGGCAACAGAGTGAGACTCTGCCTCAAAAAAAAAAAAAAAGAAGCTGGGAGCAAAGAGGCTCTGAGGTGGGAAGGGGCTTGGTGGTTGGAGGAATTGCAAGGAGACCACCTGGGCTGATATGTAGAGAGCCAAAGGCAGTGGTTTAAAGTGAACCCAAGAAGGTAAGCAGGAGCCAGTTCTTGCAGAGTCTTAAAATGCTCTTAGACGTTCAGTCTAAGAGCAGTGAGTGGGGAACTGAGTAGGGTTTTAAGCAAGGGATTAACAGCACCTGAATTATATTTAACTGTTTTTTCTGTTTTTAAATGCACTTAATTAGATTGCCTCTTTTCTAGAGTAGGTGTTCTCCACAAGGGGGTTTGTATCAGAACTACCTGGGAGGCTTTTTAAAAAATACAATACCGAGAGCCATTGGATTGGGAAGGTGGCTGGCAGGAATATTTTGGAATAGCTCCCCAGAGGACTCTGATTTTCTCCCAACCCTACCACTTCAAGAACGACTGTTGCTCTAGAAGCTTGAAAGGGTTGAAATGCCATTAACTGCCTTATCACTCTTTACCCATCTTATGGAGTGGGAGGGACCCACGGTTCAATGACTATAACTATTCCAGTGGCTTTTCCCCAGACTGACAGCTACTGGACTTTTAGGAAGAAAGAGTGGGACCTCTGAGAAGACCAAGAGGAAGGAAAGCAGTAGTGGGGTTATCACTGATAGAAAGGAGGTACAGCTGAGGATAACCCATTCCTAAAAAGGGCTGGAGAACTGTAAACAGGATCTGCGGTGCTAGGGTGCAAGGAGGGAAGCTATTACTTGGTTGGGGATAAAAAACTAAAGGATTTTATAGTGAAAAAGTCTAGCTCCTGGCTACTCAAAAGTGTGGTCTGAGCAGCAACAGCATTGCTTGGCAGCTTGTTAGAAATGCAGAATCTTGGGCTCTGCCCCAGACCTAATGAATTATAATCTGCATTCTTGATAAGAGCCTCAGGTGTTTTCTTGATATGCTCATTTAAGTTTAAGGTGCACTCGTGCGTATAATGGAGAGGAGACCCCCGACCATCAGAGAGTAGGCTGTCTGGCACTACTGAAGCACTTTATTTTGAACACTTTCTAATACAGGACAATGTTTTTGAAAAGGTATTGAATTTTTAAAGATTAAGTGCTATAAATGCTGGAGAAAGACCTTATTTAACTGCAGGGAGGTTTTTCATAATCCAAATTTCCTTCGACTAGAAACATTTCCTGTGGCGTAAAGTACCAAGTTTCCTTAAGGTGAGGCAGAGCCATGTTAAAAATGTGCGATAAGAACTCAGCGCTTGGCCAAGTCAACCATTCATACAGCTGGATCAGGTCTGGAGCCGCTCATGTCTCTTGGCAACTCCGAGCCACCAGGATGAGCTTTTGAAGGAAGTTGGCGGCTGTTCTGCCTGAGAGAGCAGCTCTAAGTTGAGTCTTTAAGGCTGAAAATGTAGAGGGGAGACTTGACAAAACTATCTCCAGGGAGTGTGGCCGGGTAATTTGGTGAGGCGGATACACCCGGGAGAGAGTAGTAGCAACAGCCCATTCACTGATGAGGCCCTAGGTCACCTTCGACCTGTGACCCTGCGCCTCACTGGGCGCTTCCGTGCCCAGCTTCCGCTCCCGCCCCTCCGGCAAGGAGCTGGCCCAAGGGGTGTGGGCGGGGCTCAGAGGCCGGCGGTTAGGGGCGGTACCTGTTGGGGGCGGGTCTCGCGAGGGGAGGGATTTGAGGAGACGTGCTAGCATTGGGCGGCTAGGTGGAGGCGGGGCCTAGTGCTGGGCTGGGTTGGGCGGGGCAGGGAGTTAGTAGCCGCCTCTGGGTAACTGGACTAGGGCCGCCAGACCTCCCGAGGCCGGGGGCGGCAAGAGAGCCCGTAGCAGATCCCGGACCTGGAATCTCCGGAACAGGAGCGGAATCAGGATCGGCCGGGGCCCAAACTGGGACTGTGAGGCGCTCGGGAACTTGAATTAGGAAATCCCGGAACCCGGATCAACAAACCCCGGAACCCGGAATTACGACCAGAAAATCCCGGATCGCGGAGCTCAGAGCGCGGAGCGGATTCGACGCGGAGCGCGGAGTCCGGATCGCGACACCCCGGGACGGGACGGAGATGTCGGGTCGAGGCGCGGGCGGGTTCCCGCTGCCCCCGCTGAGCCCTGGCGGCGGCGCCGTTGCCGCGGCCCTGGGAGCGCCGCCTCCCCCAGCGGGACCAGGCATGATGCCTGGACCGGCGCTCCGGGGACCAGGGCCGGCTGGAGGCGTGGGCGGCCCCGGGGCCGCCGCCTTCCGCCCCATGGGCCCCGCGGGCCCCGCGGCGCAGTACCAGGTGAGGAGCGCGGAACGCGCCGCAAGGGCGCCCCAGGGAGGGGGCGGAGGGGACCTCGAGTGAGGCCCTAGAGAGGAGCTCCTGGACAGAGGGCACAGGGGCCCTGCGTGAGGAACTCACCACGGTAAAGGGCAAGACCAGGGACCCTCGGGCTGCGGCTAGATGGTGGTGGAAGAGTTGGGGGAAAGGGTAACAGGGATTCTGCAGTGGAAGGTCTGAAGCAGTTGGGAGGGTCTGGGGTTTTCCTTGGTCCAGGGATTCTGAGTACCTGAGAGATGGAGGAGTTGTGGGGGCTAGTGAATTGTGGGCAGGTGGGTTGAGAAATGTAGTGTAGGTCCTAGGATAGGGGGGCCTGGGAAGCAATGAGAAAGTTTTGGAAAATGGCCCTCACTGGGAAACCAGGGTTACCCTGCACTGGCCTTGGTCCCACTCTAAGTCTGCCCTGTTTTTTCTAGTTGGGAACTGGCAGAATTCTAGCATGTCTGAGATGGCTGCCAGCTGCTAATGAGAAGGAAGGAGGCCTGGCTTCCCACGGGCATGGGAGGCTGAGGCTAGGGCAAGGGGATTCCTGAGTGTAGGGACAGACCTGGGAGCCTTTGCTCAGGATGACTCCAGGTTAGACCAGAGATGGTGGTGGCCAGGCCTGAGGAAGGCCCAGCCCAGTAGCAGACCATTCCCAGCAGACTCTGTTCTGGGCTTTCTGCCTGGTGTCATAGTGTCCAGGAGTTGATTAGGCTGGAGGAGCAGAGAGGCTCCACTAAGCCCTGCTGTTCCGGGACTGGAGGCGTCTGCAAGAGTTGCTTCAAAGGGTGCTGTCCTGATTCCTTTGGGGTTTGGCTTTGAAAAGAGCTTCTTCTCAGGTTGCAGCTTCAAAGGCCATTGAGAGGCAGAAACTTATGGTCAGTGTTTGAGGAACTCAGCCTGACCCTGCTGGTGGGACTCATTAGTCCACGTCTGTCATTCCAGGTTGCCCCAGAATGCTTGGGAATTGTGCCCATCCTTTTCCCACCCCCTCTCCACTTTTATTTAGCCTTTAGGTTCTGACTCCGCCATATCCCAACCTAGGTGCTCCAGCATTTGGCACTGGCTTCTTGCTAATCTTCCAAGGTCTGCGCTGGGGCTTTCTAGAGGTAGAGGTCTCAGAAGTAAATGGATCCTCATGAGGTGTACATATCCTGCCAGGACCCCTGAATCCTCACTTTCTAAGGAGATGCTTAACTGGGACAGTGACTTTTTTTTCCCCTCTTACTCCTCATTTCTCCTCTGTCCTCAAAAGGAAATAAAGGGTCAAAGGGTATGGGCAGAGATAGACTTGGTCCCAAGGACTCTAGCTGGGGTCCTGTCTTTCCCATCTTGCTCTCCGCCTTGGGGATTCACGGGCCCCCCCAGGGTATCGCTGAGGGGTCCCTGCCTCAGTCACTGCAGTCCTTGAGCCTGCCAACTGAGACCTGGCCTGGGAGCCTTCTGTGGGTCTTTGGCCTTGGAGGGACCTGGAACAGTTTCCTTGGCATGCAACCCATAGGAAATGTGCCCTTGGGAAAGCCCCCGTGAGAATGGATTCCACCATGTTCAGTGGGGAGTGGCCTTGGGCCTGTAGCAAGGCCAGGCTGGCTGGCTGGGTAGCCCTGGGTGACTAGGTGTGGGGCAGTAGGAGATGGCCCTGAGCCTGGGCTTCTCTCCTCTTCCTCCTCCTCCTCCTCCTCCTCCTCCCAGCTGGGAAGGAGAACCCAGTTAGCAAACTTTAGCGTATCGAGGAGGATTCTACTTGCCTTCTTTATGAGTGCAGTTGTATGACTTCCAGAAGAAGGGACTTGAGATCTAGGGAACAAAGGGGCTGCTGTCTGTTAGGGCTCATGAATGAGCTGGAAGAGCAGAGATTTGAGGGCCCAAGCTGGGCCAGTGGGGAGCCTGTTGAAAGAAGGAAGTGACGATTCACCTCCCTCCAGACAGAGGTTTTAGCTGTTGATCACAGTTACCTGTGGAGCTTAGAAAGACAAAAAACTGGAAAAAAACAAAAAAACACAGATTAATGGGTTCACCCCAGAGAATTCAAAATACTTTCTCATGAGGGAGGGGGTGGTATGCTCTCCTCCAACCGAGGTCGTTAGGCCCAACCACCAGGAGCATCAGGGCTAGGGGCTTTGAGGCAGGGGCAGAGCATGCTCACCTGAGTCCTAGATGCCTCACCTGGAGGCTGCAGCATAGGCCCAGCTGTTGCCCTGCTCTCCTGGGTGTTGGTAGAAACCAGCTTAGATTATAGGCTTTGCCTGCTTCTGGGGTTCAGGGAACTGAACCAGGTCTACCTAGACCTGCAGCAGGCAGGGAGTTGGAGAGGCTGAGAATTCTGGGCTGTGGGGTTTGTTTTTGTTAAAACTCCTGAGTTGTTTTTTTCCGAAGGGGAGGAGTTAGTTACTGGTGCTTCAAAGCCCAGGTGTGGAGCTTGGCAAGGCTAAGCTGGGACTTGATGAACTATGAGCAGCCTTCCCCTGGGGCCCTGGGTGAGCTGGGGGCTCTCAGCCCGGGAAGTCTGGAGCAGATGTCTGGGTGGGGCCTATTTCAGGGCCTGCTGTCTGTGCTGCCTTGTCTTGGGACTTCCTGTTACTGGAGCACCTGCCCAGGAGGGGTGGGTGGTACAGCAGGTTTTGTAAAGGCCCCAGGGTGTAGCTTGGTGGGGACCACAGGGCCCTAATTCACACTCTGCAGGTTCTCCTGCTTCAGCGGTTCCTCCTGTTTGTCTCAGACACTGGGAAAAACTCAAGTCTGGGATGTCTGGGGCTTGGGCTTACAGCTGTGGCCACACTGAGTTTTTTTCTAGACTCTCTGGCCATGGCTTGTTAAGGCAGAGAAACAGGCTGTCTTTTGCCTTTCAGCAGCTCTGATGAATCTCTTCCTGATGGGGAGAGACCTGTGGCAGGACTCCCGGGGCCCCAGAGCCCCTACTTTGAACTCTTCATCCTCCCAAGTGCTTCCCTCCACCCTTCTCCTCTCCCCTTCCCCATGTCTCTGGGTCATGTTTCTTTCCATCTCTGCATCTGGTCAAGAATCTGACCCTCTGAGATGGGAGCATGGGTTTAGTGCTAGATGAAGTGATGGGGGAAGAATCTTCTCTCCATGATGCTGGGGTGAGGGAGGCTCCTCTGATTTGGTGCGAGTCTCCACCCAGCCTGGCTTGGTTGACTGATTGTGCTGGTTGCATAATCTGGGCCCTGGGGCCAGCCCTGTGAAGCTGCCAGGGACAGTGTGTGCGAGGCGGAGCTGCCAAACAGGCCTTGCAGGCAGCAGCCATGGCGAAGGTGATGGGGGGCAGAGGGTACTCCCAGATGGGCTCCACGGGAATATTAGGAGCTGGGCCTCAGTGGGATATCCTTCTGAAGGCTTCAGAAGAAGCTATTTCTGTCACCCAGATTCCTGCTGCTGTCCCTGTGACTCTGATCCTTGCATCCCAGGATAATCTTATCCCCATTCTCCAGCTTGGGATTGCTATAGGGCTAGACGGAGCCTGAGCCAGTCCTGGCTGCCAGGTGGTGCCTGGACCATGGGCAAAGTCCAGGTGCTAGGTCGCGCGTCGTGCTCATGCGCGCTCTCTCCTTCCCTCCCTCCCTCCCCCCACCCCCCACAGGCCACCCAGGTCTTCTGGCATAGGGGCAGTGGTTGGCCAGCAGGGAGATGAGAGAAGGATCTGGTTCTGGGTTGTGGGTAAGGGCCATATGGTGACCAGAAGGTCTCTGTACTGTGCCTGAGGCTACCCCCACCAACTGGGACATGTTCCAAGCCATCCTGTTGCAGCTCGCTCACCTGGGGTGCTGCTGCCTGATGGGCTTGCGGCCCACTGGGCTGCCTTTCTCCCCCAGTCACACACTAGGCTGGCGACAGGGCATGGGGATTAGGACTCTGTGCTATCAGCCTCTTATGTCATACTACACCCTGTTCAGCTGTGACACTGGCCCCCACGCAGTGCTCCTCACAGTGGAGGCAGGAGAAGGAGGGCAGTGCTGACTGGAACCGTCTGAGGCCTCAGGAGTGCCTCAAGGACAGCTGGTCCCACGGAGCAGGGAGCATGCTGGGGCTGGGAGGCTGTGATGGGCCCTGAAAAGCTCTCCCAGGCCCTTCCCTCTGCAGGCAGGACTCTCCGCCCACCCCTGGGCTCTGGCAGGCCTCATTTGCTGGCACAGCTGCCAGGGCGGTTGCAGGGGGCGGGGCAGGTGTGGTTTACACTCTGTGTTCAGGCGCCCGCTCCCCTTTGTTCCTGGCACTCCAGCGGGGCTCTGTGGTGTGTTGCTCAGGGCTGGACCTGGCTGAGGAGAGGGATGGAAGGCATGGGCTATGGGCCCCAGAGGGCCCTGCCCTTGACCTATGCACCCCCGTTGGCTCACTTCCCCCAGCGGCCTGGCATGTCACCAGGGAGCCGGATGCCCATGGCTGGCTTGCAGGTGGGACCCCCTGCTGGCTCCCCGTTTGGCACAGCTGCTCCACTTCGACCTGGCATGCCACCCACCATGATGGATCCATTCCGAAAACGCCTGCTTGTGCCCCAGGCCCAGCCCCCGATGCCCACCCAGCGCCGGGGGTAAGACCATCCTGTTTCTCCCACCCTACCTAGCCCAGCTCTGATCGTAGCAGGGGGTTTCCTTCTATCCTAAGGGCTTCTATGACTGAGGAAAACTCCTGGCTCTCTTGGGGGAGGGTCCTGAGGACTGAAGGGGTGGATGGCGGGGTGAGCGTCCTTTGGACCATTGACCTCTTACATGGGTTTCTGTCCTCTCCAGGTTAAAGAGGAGGAAGATGGCAGATAAGGTTCTACCTCAGCGAGTAAGTGCTGGCAGGAGGGCTAGGAGGCCTGCCCAGTGGCTGGCTGGGAATGGGAGGCCGTCTCCCCCAACCCTGGAAGTGGGGAGGAAGGGAAAAAGGAGCCAGCGCTGTGGCTGAAGCAAGCTGAATTCCTTCTCCCTTCCTCCAGATTCGGGAGCTTGTCCCAGAGTCTCAGGCATACATGGATCTCTTGGCTTTTGAGCGGAAGCTGGACCAGACCATTGCTCGCAAGCGGATGGAGATCCAGGAGGCCATCAAAAAACCTCTGACGGTGCGTGGAGCCCTGACCACCTCTGGCCTTCCCAAACTTCTCTCCCATCCCTGGCTTGTTTTTCAGGGACCAAGCAAGGGTTGGTGTTGGGTGACAGCAGGATTTTTCACATGCCGGATGCAGCCCATTGGTAGAGCATGAACTCAATTTAATGTGTTGGGGCCACTACGTTTTAAATGAATATAAAATAGAAAATACAAAAGTACTTCACAGTAGTATTTACCATAGTAATGAAGGTATTCTTTAATGAACTTTTTGTTTCAGGTATTTATATATACGTATGCAGATCCTGGGTCGTAATTTAAAATGTAAATCTTACAGATTGTGGTCAGAAGTTTGAAAACCACTAGAGGGCAGATAAAAGTAGTTCCTTTCTTCTTTCCCATCCCTAGAGAAGTTTTTCTTTTCCTAATGATAATCTAGAACAGTCACCCGAGTGGTGAAGTCTTTCCAGGAGACTGGGATATTTTGGGGCCATTATGGGTGTTTGGGTTTCCTTTAAAATCTGAGCCAGAGGTTTCCGATTTGCCTGGTAGCGCTTTACTGGTCTACCTCTGTCAAGCCATACCACTGATCCCACTGTGTTAGCATTGTGGGTGATGCATCTGTTTCCCCCATAAACTGTGAATTCTTTAGGGCAGGGGCTGGGATCTACTATTAATACTTCCAATGCCCAGTGCCTAACAAGGTGCAAGTCACATATGCTTGATACTGACTGTCGAATGATTTCATACGGGAAGATTGAGTAGCATTGTTTTCCAATATTTTGGTCCACCTCTAGTTGTCATTCTCTCTTTAGCAAAAGCGAAAACTTCGGATCTACATTTCCAATACATTCAGTCCCAGCAAGGCAGAAGGCGATAGTGCAGGAACTACAGGGACCCCTGGGGGAACCCCAGCAGGGGACAAGGTGGCTTCCTGGGAACTCCGAGTGGAAGGAAAACTGCTGGATGATGTGAGTTGGGGAGGGAGGTGTCAGGAGGGCAGGAGGCCTGTGCAGGTTTAAGATGGACTAGACACTTGCACAGTCCCCGGAGGTGCTTCCCCCCGGAGAGGGCGCTGCTCGTGATCCTGCTTGCCACAGCTCCCAGCCAGAGGTTGATTTGTGTGGTTTTTACAACGATGTTCCTGTGGATGGCAGTCGAGTGTCTTGAAGTCCCTTGCTGGCTGGCAGGGGGCTGCATAGAGTCTTTTCCCTGCCTCCAGCCTCTGTGCCCAGAGTCTGACTGCTTCCTCCAGGGCCCACAAATGCTCAGTTCCCTGAGCTCCAGGGTTGAAACAATCTTTTTTGAGGAGTTAGCATAGCTTCAGCAGCTTTAGGTTTGAGAGCTCACAGAAGTACCATCTCACACCCCTTTCTATTCCCAGCCTAGCAAACAGAAGAGGAAGTTTTCTTCATTCTTTAAGAGCCTCGTCATTGAGCTGGACAAGGAACTGTATGGGCCTGACAATCATCTGGTGGAGGTGAGCATGGACCTGGGGCACTGGGAGAACAAGCTGCCTGAGGACACCAAGCACAGGCTGACATGCTGGTTGGGTGGAGAAATGGCCTTGGTCCCCTTGGAGGACCATGTGTTCATGCCTACCCCCTTGGTGACAAGCTCTGCTTCCGTCCTCCTCGCCAGTGGCACCGGATGCCCACCACCCAGGAGACAGATGGCTTCCAGGTAAAACGGCCTGGAGACCTCAACGTCAAGTGCACCCTCCTGCTCATGCTGGATCATCAGGTGACATGCCCTGGCATCATGTCTGGGGCCCCAGGGACTTATCTGGGGGAGGGGAGCACATTCCTAGAAACCCTTCCTGTCCCTGCCCTATTTTCTTGCTTTGCTTCTTCCCAAGAACCCATCCTCTGACTTCCCTGTGTCCATCTCCAGCCACCCCAGTACAAACTGGATCCCCGACTGGCGAGGCTGCTGGGAGTACACACACAGACACGGGCCGCCATCATGCAGGCCCTGTGGCTTTACATCAAACACAACCAGCTGCAAGATGGGCACGAGCGGGAGTACATCAATTGCAACCGTTACTTCCGCCAGGTTAGCCAGATGCCATCCTCTGTTCTCTCAGCCCCTGCTGGGCTAGTTCTTGGCCACAGCCTTCAGACTGCTGCCCTTACTGGCCATGGAATGGTTCACTCCCCCCCTGCCCTCAAAGGCATCATCGAGCCTTTGGTACTCTCTCCAGATCTTTAGTTGTGGCCGACTCCGTTTCTCTGAGATTCCCATGAAGCTGGCTGGGTTGCTGCAGCATCCAGACCCCATTGTCATCAACCATGTCATTAGGTAAATGGAAGGCGGGGGGTGGGAAGGCTCATCTAAGAGCAGATTCATCCTTGGCTTGAAGCAAAGCCAGAGAGAGAAGCAGCAGATTGGTTTCTTGCTCCCTGTGTGCACAGAATGGGGCCCAGGTGGGTGGGATGAAGACATATGTGCTTCCCCTTTCCTTGCTGTGTGCTGCCTGCAGTGTGGACCCTAATGACCAAAAGAAGACAGCCTGTTATGACATTGATGTGGAGGTCGACGACCCACTAAAGGCCCAGATGAGCAATTTTCTGGCCTCTACCACCAATCAGCAGGAGATTGCCTCCCTTGATGTCAAGGTGGGCCCTCGCTTCCCCACCCTCCTCTGGGGCCCAAGATGGGGGTGGGCCGGCCCTGTCAGGCACTTCCATACATGTAGCACCTTGGGGATGGCATCTCTGGCTCAGTCCTTTGGGTTTAGGCCTGGGAGCAGACTGGGGGCTCAGTATGACACATGCACTCCTCCCCAGATCCATGAGACCATTGAGTCCATCAACCAGCTGAAGACCCAGAGGGATTTCATGCTCAGCTTTAGCACTGACCCCCAGGACTTCATCCAGGAATGGCTCCGTTCCCAGCGCCGAGACCTCAAGGTGTAGTCCTCTTTCTTGAGGCGGGAATCCCATATGAAGCACTGGATGATTTTTTATCCGCAAGCACTATTGTCCCAGTTCCAAGGGTAAGAATTTTGCTACAGCTTTCCTCCTCGCTCTTTGCAGATCATCACTGATGTGATTGGAAATCCTGAGGAGGAGAGACGAGCTGCTTTCTACCACCAGCCCTGGGCCCAGGAAGCAGTGGGGAGGCATATCTTTGCCAAGGTGAGGCTCTGTCCTGGTTGCCCCTCCTTTGGTTCTGAGTCGCAGAGACCTGAGCCGCTGGTCTCTCCCTTCTCTAGGTGCAGCAGCGAAGGCAGGAACTGGAACAGGTGCTGGGAATTCGCCTGACCTAACTGCTCAGGGATCTCTTCCTTTCTTCCCAGCCCTGGAGCCTGGAAGGGGAGCCCCCTCTGGGTCTTGGCTGAGGCTGCAGACACGTAGGATGGGGTGAGAGGTGTCTGCTGTCACCCTCTACTCCCCAGCTTTAGTTTCATAAATGTAGTGATAGGATTCCTTATTGCTTGGTCCCCAAAGCCTTATTACTTATTTTTTGCATTGGCTTTAACGGGGTTCTCATCAGATGATGCCTCCTCTGCCCCCGGCAGGCAGGCCCAAGTAGGACTGCTGGAGGCTATGCTTTGACTTTGTAACAGACATTTCTGAACCAAAGGCGGCTGGGTTTGCATGTTTACAGACTTCCTGCTGGGGAGCTGGGCGAGGAGGCGGTGGCACAGCCCAGACTCTTCCTAGCCTTTCTAAACCAAAGTTCTTTGCCATTCCTACAAACCCAGCCTTGCTGCTGGTTTTTTCCTTTGGGTATTTGCACTATTTGGGGAGCAAGTTTTTCTATGTGGGAGCCACTTTTTTATACAGGGGTAAGTTGGGGTTTTTCATGGAGCCCTGTTTGGTGCCTCCTTACTTAATTTCTTTCCTCAATCTATGCAAGCGGCTTTGGCCGCCATCATCTCCTGGGATGCCAGAGGGCTGCCTCCCCAGATACTTCGGCCTGGGGAGGTGAAGCCTCCTAGAGGGAGGGGACACTGCAGTTCTCTAGCATGGCCTGAGGTATGGCTGTGTGCATGGTGGAGGGCAGAGGAAGTGGGGCTGGGAAGATGGCTGTTGCCCTTTGGGGCTTGGCAAGTACCACTTCTGGCAGGTTTGGAAATTCCCAAATAAATCCTTTTGTTTATTGGTGGTGCCCAGACCTGGTCATTGAACACTACGGCCACTCTGGTAACAGACTGGAGTCCTAGAGGGCTTGTCCCACAGCTTTATTTGAGGGATCCACACAAAAGATGTCTGCTACTTCCATAGTTTCTTGATGGACATGTTTTTCTCGCTATCCTTCTGCATGACCTGGAAAGAGAGCGAGCATTAAGTCATGAACCGGGTGAACCCAGGCTCTAGCCCACTGCTCCAGAGCCACCAGCAGGAGAGGTGGAAAGATGGAGACAAGTACCTTGGCTACTGCCATCTCAAAGTCCTCCTGGGTGACGTGGACTCGCCGTTCCCGCAAGGCATACATGCCAGCTTCTGTGCACACACCCTGAGCAGGAAAAGGAAGTTAAGGCCCTGTTGCTGTGCCCTCTCAACCCTGAGTGTGGCCCTTGAACCCTTGCTGCCGCCTCCAACTACCTTCACTTCAGCCCCTGATGCTCCTGGCATGAGCTCAGCAATTTTTCTCAAGTTGATCCCCCGGGTCAGGTTCATTTTCCGAGAGTGGATCTTCAGAATATCCAGTCGGGCCTGGAGATGGGAGAGGAACGGCCTGAGCTATATACCCTACTCCCATAGTCAGAGCCACTCTGAGCAGTGCCCATCACAAACCTCCTCATTGGGGGGTGGGAATTCAATTTTTCTGTCGATGCGCCCTGGGCGAAGCAGCGCTGAATCCAGGATGTCAATTCTATTAGTAGCCATGATAACCTGAGTGGAGAAAGGAGAGGAATCAGCTAAGCTCTTCCTCAGCCTGCACCTCAGCCAGGGCCTTCCCTTGGCTCAGCCTGAGGCTGATACCCCCTTACCTTGATATTCTTGGTGGCCTCAAAGCCATCCAGCTGGTTAAGCAGCTCCAGCATCGTGCGCTGCACTTCACTGTCCCCTCCAGAACCCCCTTCCAGCCTCGAGGAGCCAATGGAGTCAATTTCATCCATGAAGATGATAGATGGAGCATGTTCTCGTGCCATGACAAACAGCTCCCTCACCATTCTCGCCCCTGTGCAGAGGCCACGCTAGTGTTAGGGAGCTGATGAGCCAGCTTCCCACACCCCTTTCCATCTGGTTCCTAGCCACAGTTCCTAGCCACAGTTACCTTCCCCGATGAATTTCTGTACCAATTCAGAGCCAGAGACACGAATGAAGGTACAGTCCGTATGATGAGCCACAGCCCGGGCCAGCAGTGTCTTCCCAGTGCCTGGGGGTCCATATAGCAGCACTCCCTAGAGGGGAACAGCAGACTCAGGGCAGAAAGCTGGGCCCTCATTTCATTCAGTGAACATTTACTGAGTGCTGGCTTTATGCTGGATCCCTTGCTAGATGCTAGGGATATAAAAAATGAACAGAGTCCCTTCTGAAGCTTCTATCCAAACCACCTCAATACCCTGGAAACAACCCCTCCCACCCCCACCCTTCAGCGGGAAGGACCCACCCAAACAGGCTGCAGCCTATCCCAACACCTCCCCACCCCTGCACTCGGCCTGGGGCAGGAGGAATAAGTACACAGGTCCTCCCAGAGAAGCCCTGCTCCTCACCTTGGGCTGTGCAATGCCCAGTGCTTCAAAGAGCTCAGGATGCTTAACAGGGAGCTCGATCACTTCTTTGATCTCCTTGATCTGCTTGTCCAGTCCACCAATCATCTCATAAGTTGAGTCTGGCACTTTCTCCACCATCATCAGTGACACCAGTGGGTCCACCTTGTTGGGTAGGATCTTGTGCAGAGTATAGCTGTCATTTCTTAGAGCCACCCGGCAATTGGGTGTCACCTGGGCAAAGGAAGTAAGTTTCAGGAATGGTACAATAAGAGCTGACCCCACCCCCCCCACCTCACCTGCTACTCACATCATTGATGTCAATGTTCTTGTCTACATCTACCACAAACTTGCCCTCAGGATGCACCTACAGAAACAACGGCTCATGACCTTACCTGACAGCCACCAAATCGTCAACCCCACCCATAAAGACACATGAGAATCCCGTAACAACATGACAGAACATTGTCCTCCGAGGCTACACACAAAGGGCTAGGAACACAGTGAGGAACAGGCCAGTCCCTGGGGTCATGCTGCTTTTACCTTGACTAACACTTTCTTCTTATCCATGGCTCGAACTACTTCCCCTACATAGGAGCCCTGTTCCTGCAGCAGCTGTAGCTCCTCCCGCAATAGGCGAACTAGAAGGCAAACAGACGGTGGTCACCTAGCTTCTCCTTTGGTGTCCCCCCTTCCCAGGACACAATTCAACATGCATGAACCAAGCACCGCTTTGAAGGGAAGAATACACACACAAAAAGGCCAAAATTCATGTTTTTAAGGGGGTCGTACTGGAGCATGGGAGAGAGACATGCATGTGAAATGACCACATGATGACAGTGGGAAGCAACATCTCAGACCGGGAGAAAACAATAAGCACAGCTCGGAAGACAGTGCAGGAAGGTTACGAACAGTCACACTTCAAACTGCCCACATGCAGCTTCCCATCTTTCCCCCTCACCTTTTGCATTTAGCTCATTTCTTTGTGCCTGCAGCCTCCGGAGGTTTTGGCTCTTATCATTCACAATCAGCTGTGGAGGACAAGAGACAAATTCCGTTACCCAAGGGCAGAATACAGTAGAAGGCAGGATCTTGGCCAAGACCCTCACAGGTGGGTATGAGTGAGGAAAGGGCACAGAGCACCTGCATGTTGTTTCAGATTCTCCAGCATGATCCTAATGATCCTGGCCCGTCCTCCAAGAGCCCCTCTGAAGCCTAGGGCAGCCAGCAAAAAAGGCTGTGACTAATACTGGTCTAAGAGTAACGATCTAAGGGAGAAAAGCTACAGCTGGCTCATGTAACAGTAAATTTCTTGTGGGAAGGTAATATAGCAGAAAGATCTTTAAGAGCCTGGGTTCTAGCCCAGCTGCTGTCAATTAAAAGCGAGGTAAAGCTAAGGCAAGCCATTTTCAAAAATCTAGGTCTGTTACCAAAATACACAAGGGTGTAGAATCAGCTACACCCGATTCTTTTCTGGACTATTGGGACGAACAAAAGAAATCACATGTAAAAGCATTCAAAAATGGTAAACCAAATATAATACCTGCAATCAGCAGTGGAGTTCAGAATTTTTCCTTGTGGCTTTCCCCATCCAATTTATACTACAGGTGACCCCTGAACAATGTGGGGGTTAGGGGTGAAGTTGAAAATCCATACAGAAACTGTCACACTCCCAAAACTTAACTACTAATAAGCTACTGTTGACCAGTTAACATATAAATAGACTAATATCCACATATATTTCATGTACTCAAGACATACCTAACTTTTCCTTGATTTTTTTGAAATTTCTTGGCTACACTGTTTTGAGTTTTTTCAAACTTGCAAATTTCTAAAAAGTTTTCCAATATATTTATTGAAAAAAAACCCACGTGTAAGTGGACCCTTACAGTTCAAACCCATGTTGTTCAAGAGTCAACTGTAATTATTTTTCTTATTGCTCTGGTCCCTTATTTCTATGGTTTAGCTCTTTAGGCTAGAGCACTGGGTGGCCCAATTCCTTTCACTCAACGCCACCCTTCCTTACACTCTAATTGCACCCTGCCCCAACCCCTTTCTGATAAACCTCATCTCCTGAGCATGTCTTCCCTTTTATAAGTAACCTTTTCGTTCAGCCTTCTAAAAGGGATGGCCTTTGGCTAGAGGAAGCTTCTCTACTAAAATTTCACTCTTCGAGATGTGTAACAAACTGAACATTATCACCCTCAAGGAGTGGGATTTGAGGAGAACAAGAGAATAATTTCATATGCTTTATATTGCTTGTTACTTCTTATACACACACTTCTCTAGCTAAAAGGAAACGGGAAAAGAAGAAGCTGCTTGCACTGCAATCCCGTCGGCTTCCATCGATTCTCAGACCCCGCCTTGTAGCTCCCTCTAGAGTACGTCCTCACCTGGAGTTCTTCAATCTTGGACAGATAATATTGACGAAGTCCGCTGCCTGCCTTCCCCTCTTCCAGCTCCATCTGAAGACACAAGATAATTATTAAACAACAGGCTAGACATCCAAGGGGTAAAGCCGCTTCCAGGGAACTTCACCATAAGGCTTAATACCTGGCAGCTTTGTGCAGTAAAGAGTCTGGGCTTAAGACCTGGGTTCTAATCCCTTCTTCCCCCCTTCGAACCGTCCATTTTCCTATGACTAAAATAAAAGAACGAGAACGCCGCCTACCTCACAGGACTTTCAGGAGGACCAAGAGACACTATACGCGGGGCGCTTTGCACTGTGTCAAGCGCCATACGAACCCGAGATGTTATTTCTACCGACCGAGCCAGCAGGAAGGACGGCGGCTCGCGGAGCGGCCCGTTCCCGCTCCCATCGCTCCTCTCACTCACTCCGCTTCTACCGAGTCTTCCTCTCCTAGCCCTGCCCTGACTCACCGGGGGCGGCGCTGACACAGCAGATCCGGCCTCAGGCAGGGCCAGTCTGGATTGGCCCACCTACCCCCGACCCAAAAGACCCCCTTGTCCCGGCTCGCTGCCCACCTCTAATCACGCCCACTCCGCATCCATCCCCGGTTCCCGCCCGGCCGCAGCTGCCGCCGCCGCTGCCGCCATACCTGCTCCGGTCCGTCAAGCGCCATCTTCCCTCCAGCGGAGACCGCCGGCATCCGAGCTGCCTTGGCGCGCAGGCGCAGAAGCGGGGGCTTGTGGCCTGAAGCCCAAGGCAGAGAAGAGTTCCGGGTCAATGGGAGGGGTGTGCGACAAGACTACAATTAAGGCGGGGGCCATGATGAGAGGGGCGGCTCCTTGAGTTCAGGAGTTGAGGAAGGGGAAAGAAGAGGGAATATAATTCCTAAGTGTTGCCTATTAGAAATTTGGTTTTTAGTTCTTGTAATCTGCCTCCTGATCCCAACGTTAAATTTATAAGACCTGGGGGACAGACCATACAGAAAATTCATGGCCACACTCAAAATGGCGGAAAACGGAAACCTTGGAGCTAGG